GGTTGTTTGTGTGGTTGTTTGTTTGGTTGTTTGTTTGTTTGTTTGTTTGTTTGTGTGGTTGTTTGTGTGGTTGTTTGTTTTGTTGTTTGTTTGTTTGTTTGTTTGTGTGGTTGTTTGTTTGTTTGTTTGTAAAAATGTGGAATGTAATTTAAGATGTATAAAACAATTCTTTAATTAATTTTTAATTAATTAATTAACTAATTAATTTTTGCGAAATTGCTTTCACGAAGTAGTCTCATCCTCAAATTACATTACCATCACATTACCTTATCACCATATAATAACATTATCATCCCGCCATCCCATTGTTGATCCAGCAAGCAGAAAAATTCCCTCCCGGCCTGGAAAATCTTTCAGAACCGGATCAGCAATCAGGCGCTCTACCTCGCGGAAGACGCCGACAACATCGAAGAGTTACTCCGGAACCTGAGAGAGCTGGAGGTCGTGGAGATTGAGGAGATCCCGGATATGGGCACGCAAATCAAATTGATCCTGGTTTTCAGTGACGGAAGCCACGGCTTATTCAAGCCAATGAGGCCGGTTTGTGTAATTGTGCTTTGTGTGTTCATCTGCTTTGCTTGTTCATCTCTTTGTTTGTTCTTCTGTTTGCGTGTTCATCTATCTGTCTGTGTTTTCTTCTGTTTGCGTGTTTTATTAGAGTATACTAACTTGTTGCGATTTCCTTAGCCAATTATTACGACTACTACTTCTACTACTGCTACTTCTACTACTACTACTACTTGATTACTACCAGCGCTACTGCTGCAGCTGCCACTACTACCACTACTTTTTTTATAACTACAAATTGAACAGGTGTCTTCGCGACAAAAGTCCAGGCAATTTTAATCATAACAGCATCCCACGCAAACTTTTACACAACCTTTTCACGCGTATTTAAACATCTTTTCTACGATTTCTTTTCTTATCATCGTCGTCAGAATTTCACAAAAATTTCACACACGTCACCTATCTACACATGTTTTCGCACACGTCATCACACGTATTTAAACATCTCCCTCCACAACTTTCCACCTACATTCATCTCCTAAATTAGCCACCGACCAACCAACTAGTGACCGTTTTATTAACAGGGTGCCCAGGGAGCAAGAAGAGACTCTGGACATATACTATATGTACGAGAAGGAGCGTCATACTTCGGAGATAGCAGCTTTCCATCTTAATAGGTGAGGTTTTTGTTTAGGTTTTTGTTGTCATTTGTTATCATTTGTTATCGTTTGTCTTTGATCACTTGATCACGTTGATCAGCTCCATCATCGTCGTCGTCGTCTTCCTCATCATCTTCATCTTCATCATCTTCCTCACCATCTTCATCATCATTCCCACACAGGATCCTAGGCTTCAACACAGTTCCGCCAGTTGCTGGCAGGCTGTTCAGCATGACCGAAGAAATATATCCTCTGCTAACGGAAGATATCCAAGAGCATTTCTTTTATTCACCTGGTTGGTGCGTGTGTTTGTTTGTGTGTGTATGTGTGTGTCTTTGTAAGTATGTATATGTGTGTTTGTGTGTGTGTGTCTGTGTGTGTGTCTGTGTGATGGACGCTAGGCGATGGTTAAATGGTATAAAATAATGAGATATACATACGTGTGTTTGTATGTGTTTGTTTCAGCATGTGTGTTTGTGTGTGTGTTGTATGTAGAGTACATGTGTTTTTTTACATGTTTGTATGTATGTGTGTGTGTGTGTGGTGTGTGTGTGTGTGTGTGGTGTGTGTGTGTGGTATGTGGTGTAATAAGAATGAAAGAAAAAATGGTGAAATAAGAAAAGAATAAAAGAATGTAATCTACCGATCAAATACACCGACCAACCACCCATTGGCCAGTTGACAATGTGTGCTTCTTCGGTCAGTGTGATTACTTCTGTGACGCTGCCAACTCGGTGTGTGGCGTGGGAGAGATGCTCGAGGGATCTGTGGCTGCCTTCCTTCCCGATAGGGACCTTGCCAACTGGAAATCCATCGCTAATCCCTGGAAGAGATCTTACTCGAAATACAATAGGTGATGTTGGTGTCGTGTTTTGTTGTTGTTGTTGTGGGTATTGTTGTACAAACAATCTTGTTGTAATTAATGGTGTTACTTTTATGAGTTTTACTTCACATTTTTGTACGGCTTTCAAAAACGCTGGCGCACAACTAAACTTTTGCAACCTAGAGACTTACAACTCGTACATCACGTAGTCACACATTTCTATACGCACACCAACCGACCAGCAACAAATCAGAGGCACACAACGTATCGTTGATTTTTTTAATTTTACACCGACGACAAGCCATCCATGCGAGACACGGCACTCCTACTGTCTGAGCTAGCTACCTGGCTAACTATCTTCAGAATGATTCAGATGATGACGTTCATTTTTTTTGTGTGCGTGCGTGTGTGTGTTTGTGTGTGTGTGTGTGTAACTGATCAAACGTCCAACAGATCTGAGTGGGAGACCACGGACGACCCTGAAGGGTACTGTGAGGGGGTGCGACTTAAGCCGCCCTTTGACCAGGACAGAGCGATACTCAATGTCATAGATTCGGCCATATTTGATTTTTTGATAGGTTCGTCTGTTTGCCGTCATGTCGTGGTAAATGAATGAATGAATGAATGAACGAACGGGGACAAATGAATGAATACAAAAATAACTGAATAAAGAATGAATGATTTAAGAAATAAATTTACGAATGAATGAATGAATGAATGAGTAGATAAATGAATGCAGGTAACAAGGATCGTCATCACTACTACACTTTTGTCTCATATGGTAACAATTCCTACTACTTGCTTTTTGATAACGGCAAAGGGTGAGGCATTTAGATGTTATAATTATTTATTATTATTATTATTAAAATTATTTATTATTATTATTAAAATTATTCATTATTTTATTATTGTTATTATCCTTCAAAACCAAACTAATCACAACAAAAACATGCCCCAGATTTGGTCGGCCGCACGATGACATCATCGACATCCTGGCACCTCTCTACCAATGCTGCCTCATTCGATTCACAACCTTCCGAACACTGGTTCAAATGCACACGGATCCCGAACGAAGACTCAGCCATCTAATGAGGGAGTCTCTATCACACGATGCCCTTCCGGAAATACTGACCCCGGCCCATCTCAGAGCCCTGGATCGAAGGGTCAGAATAGTTCTAGAACAGGTTTGTAAAAAATATTTTTCTAGAAATGATTCCTCAGTTGTACCGGACCTGTGTGATGTTTCGTGGTGGATAAAATTGTCAACTCAATTAACGCAATTTAATCAATTAAATCAATCAATTAAATCAATCAATCAAATCAATATTAACGTAATTTGTGAACATTATGAATGTTTACTAGAAACGAAACGAAACGATTTTTTTCAAACTATTTTGTTTAATCCCATCTGTCATTTTATTCTCGACGTCTTTGGTTTTCATTTGCACGAAATAATGAAAATGTTAAAGGCCGTTCTGGTAGTTGATGATTCCACCAAAATTACAAACAAATGGAGTCCTTCTTCTGAATATAAGATCTCGGGGCAAAAATGCAGCTTTCAACCTGTCCCTCATTTGTTCCGTGCCCAAAAAGCGTCATAATGGATAACACTTTCCAAATTATTTTACAATATAATTATAATATAATTTATGTGCTAAAGATATTTTAAAATATAATTATAATCATAATATAATTTAGGTGCTGAAATGTTTGAAAACCAGAGGAAGGCACCAATCGATAATTATAGACGACGGTTACTACTACGAAAGGGGTTGACCTTTCAACCTTGACCCCTGACCGTCCTCAAACTTTAACGAGGCCACCGAGAGGTCATCTCTAATCTAGGTCATTATACACGAATCATAATTGTGCAAATAATGTTGTGTTAAATGTTTAAAAAGCTTTCAATTTAGAATCAGGAATATCGCTATTTTATTCGACGGCTCTGACAACATTGGGTTTAATTTATTTAATAATTCAATCAATTGATTATTTAATTTATTCATTTGTTTTTTTTTCAATAAAAATATAATTAGTATGATGAATTTTATTAATTATATTATTTTGGTTGGAATAATTTGAAAAAACAAAACCAAAAGATGGAAGTTTATTCTACATTAGCCTTATATTATCATCAACTCGTTAAAAAAAGTTATAAAAATTGATAGTATCAAAGAATGTTAATTGCCAATCAATCAATCAAGCGATCAATCAAGCGATCAATCAAGCGATCAATCAAGCGATCAATCAAGCGATCAATCAAGCGATCAATCAAGCGATCAATCAAGCGATCAATCAATCGATCAATCAATCAATCAATCAATCAATCAATCAATCAATCAATCAAGCAATCAATCAATCAATCAATCAATCAATCAATCAATCAATCAATCAATCAATCAATCAAGCAATCAATCAACCAACTATAATATATCACTTAATTATAAACACAGAAACAACAACAAGAACAAACAAACACCGACAAAAAAAAAATTTTTTAATCTGACAAATAAAATTTCATTAACTTGAAATTGCGAAACAACGACAGCGCTAACAACAACAACAACAACAATAATAATAAAGAATAATAACAACACAACAATCAAACCCGGAAGATATGCTGTTGTTTATTAGGCAAAAGGCAATTATGGATAAATAATAATAATAATAATGATAATAATTCAATATAAATTTGAAAATAAAAACATGCTTCTGATAAACATCACTGATGATGATGATGTTGTTATTTTTGATAACCTGTAAAAAAAAGAACTCTATATACGTGTGTATGTGTGTGTGTATGTTTGTGATTGCGTGTGTGTGTGTCGTGTCTGTGTAGTTTGTTTGTGTGCGTGCGTGTGTGTGTAAGTAGTAAAACACAGATTTACTTATCCAAGTTAATTAATTAGAGATATCCAGGTTGGCAATGATAACTAGTCGTAATAAATGATAATAAAGAAAAACTCAATGAAGATATTGTATCACATATATACATATAGAAAGATATCCTTTGTATCATATACATATAGATATCCTTTGTATCCTTTGTATAGATATATACATACATATATTCTTATATATTAAATAGGAATTAAAATAAGAAGTATAGCTATATATATAAGTGTATATATATATATATATAAGTTTGTGTGTGTATATATATATATATATATATATATATATATATATATGTATATATATATATATATAATCGTTACATCCTTAAGTGCTAAGTTTGGTCCACCCCTGTGGAATTTGTTAAGAAGAAGAGATGGAAGAAAAGAACGCATTAACGGATGAATGAATGAACGAATGAATGAATCATTAGACGGATTGATGAACGAGTGAATGAATTGATGAACGAGTGAAGAGATGAAGGAACGGACGGATGAGTGGAAGGACTTAAGATATTCTACATAAACGAAGGAATTGAAATAGAGTGAACGTCTAATTGAACGTAATGTAATAACGCACTTGAAGAATTCTATGGCGAAAATTATAAGCTAATAATCAATTAAGAATAAATTAATTAATTAATTAAAAATAAGATATGTTGCATTTAAACGGAAGAAAATTATTTTATAAGTCAAGCCATCAGAATCATAAAATCATCAACGAACAAATGAATGAATGAACGAAAGAAAGAATTAATAAAAAAAAGAAAAAATTGAACGGATCAATCAATCAATGAAGAAATGATATATATCAATAAAACATTTATTTAGAAAAACAAAAATTAACCAAAAAAATATTATTTACTACAAACATCTATTTATATTTAAGTTATATATAATTAACTCTCTTTTTCACTTTCTTTCTCTCTCCCTCTAATGTGATAATATCAAATAACAAATACAATTATGGATTTTTGATTTATTCAACTATTTTGTCAACTATTTTGTCAATCAAAGAATTGAATTTATAAAAATATAAATCAACCAACCAACCAATTATTCAACAAACCAACCAACTTAACGAAGTTAAAGCAACCAATTAATCAATCAATCAATTGATCGATCGATCGATCAATCAGCCAATCAACCAACCGCCATTATTTACGATCAACCAGTCAATCAAAGATAAAACAAACTACCAGCCAATCAAAAATCAACTTATTAAACCCAACCAATCGAAAATCAACTAATTAAAACCAGCCAATCACTTCTTCTCCTTTTTACTCTTATTAAAAACCCCCCCGAAAAAACTGTGCTTCTTGCTTTTGGTGCCGGTCGGCCCTTTATCCCCCGGTTCAAGGGTGGCAGAGGACCTGGTAGTGGTGGTGTCGAACTGCATGGAAGAACGGTAGGTCTGCTGAGAGGAAGCTGCTGAAGGGTGGGGGAGGGTGTCGTATGAAGAGACGGGGCGTTGTTGAGGGGGTAGAATGGAGGCTGGCTGCTGTGGATGTGGAGTCATTTTATTATTATTATTGTTATTATTATTATTATTATCTTTATTATTATTATTATTATTATTATTATTATTATTATTATTATTATTATTACTGTTATTATTTTTGTAAGAGTCGTTGTCTACATTATAACTTGAGTAATAATTCGTCATCGTCATCACAATCGTTATCATAATCAAAGACGTCGAAGTCGCCATCATCATCATCATCATCATCATCATCATCATCATCATCATCACCACATCTTCATCATCATCATCATCATCGTCGTCGTCATCACCATCATTACCATCATCATTATCGAAAGAATCGCCCACCTCAAAATCTGATAAAACTTTGTAGTACTGCTTGCCGGAAGCTCCTGCAAACGTTTTATCATCATCATCATCATTACTACATCATCATCATCATCATCATCATTACTACATCATCATCATCATCATCATTACTACATCATCATCATCATCATTACTACATCATCATCATCATCATCATCATCATTACTACATCATCATTGTCATCATCATCATCGTCGTCGTCATCATCACCATTAAGGACCTCCTAAATCACTGGATCCGCTATCGGATGCGGGATAACTTCCGCTGTGCGCCGACTGTGGGGGAGGGACTGAAGTTGGAAGGGGCGGAGTTTCTGGATTTTGATTGGCAGGCGAATGGGTTGATTTGTTGGCTCATTTAATTAGCATATTATACGTACTAACTGATCTGATTAATCAATTAATTAATATAAAACATGTTAATTGTTATGAACAAAGAAAACAAAAAAACCGACAAGCACTCACACAGACAAAGAAACGAAAAGACAAAAAGACAAACAAAAAGAAGAACAAACAACCTGACAGACAGACAGACAAACAAGCAAGCAAACAAACAAACAAATAAACAGACAGACAGACAAACAGACAGACAAACAAACACACCTCCCTCGATACTCAGCTTTCTGGAGTCACCACCTCCAGAACCGTAAGAATGTTGAGAGCCATTAACCTTCAACAACTCGGCAACATTCGCAGATGTTGCCAACAATGTGGGAGATGTTGAAGATTTACTCTCGACAACAGTAGTCAGTTGTTTCGATGATGA